CTATACCATGCCCAGTGAAGGAGGCTTCCTGTGGAGCCTCTGCATTACGTAAGACCATAGGTGGAATCCTGATCCTCACCCAGAATCTTCTGAGGTGGGAAATTTCCACTTGAAAGGACAAGCAGACCAGCCTGGAACGACTAGAAGAACAGAAGATACTTCTTGAAAGAAAGACCAACAGGAAAAATATAAAACAATAATGGCAGTCCGACTGATTACTATAAGAACAAGCAAGTTGCTCACCCAGGAGACATCAAGGCAAGTGGTTGGGTCCCCTCAGGGCAAACCCCTTCCAAGACTAAGATTCAATAGGAATACACGAGCAGACACACACTCTGATTGGTGACCACATTCCTCACCAATAAGGGAAAGTGAGGGGAAAACAGTAATGACGCTGCGAGCTAAGCCCTACAACGTTCAACAGACTCCTGTGAACTCGGTGAAAACCTGACTGGCCAGTAGTGTGGCAAGAACTGGGGACTCTTGGGCCCAGAGTCAGTGACATAGCCACAGAGAACTAGAATGGAGAGTGAAGCGTCTACTAACTGATAAGAACATGCCCACTTGACTTGGTTTCAGTGACTGGATAATCAGAGCTCAACATGCCCACTTGACTTGGTTTCAGTGACTGGATAATCAGAAGAAGAAAGAAGAGGAAAAAAAAAAGAGTAATTTGATACAATTTGATGAACTTGACCTACAACTATGGATGCAGTAGCTCAAAAGAGGGAACAAATCTTTACAACGAGGATCATACCCACCCCCTTCATACAGAGTAGACAGGGATGGGCAACTTGGACATTGGCTACCCAAAATGGGGAGGTACAAAGGCAAGAAGTGACTGGCTTACAAGCTTTCAAGAGGGTGCCTAGATCCAGAGGGCACAGAGAAAGGTAGAATCTCCACTGAGTAGTATCCAATCTGTCTGAGTAGTATCCAATCTGATGAAAACAGATGGGAATAGTTCTCTTGTAGTAGAATAGTGAATAATTGTTAAGGTGAGGACTGACTGTGAGGGTTGCAAATGTAAAGGTAGACGTTTTGTAGCAAAAGGACTGGAGTGATTGAATATGCAATCCAGGAACTTAAGTCCCTGGAACCATCAAGGTAGAAGACACCCTACCCAGAGAAGCAGTGACCCCAGAGATGGAGGCAGAGATGATGACTTGGAGAGATGGAGCAGCTAGGGAGTCTACATCCAGAGACAGAGAGGGACTATGTGCTGATGACCGGGGGCGGGCTTGCAGGGTATATACCCTTTGGTTGGTTGATGATGCATGAAGGGGATTGTAACCATGGCAATGAAATAATATACAATAGGATGAATATAAAGCTAATGTTCTCCCATGTAAACTAACACATAATTCACAATAAAACATTAAAAAAAGAATTGAGAACCCAGAAGTAAATCCATCTAGCTATGGATGTACATGCACCAAGAGGCAGTTAGTTGTTCGAACAGAACATGGTAACACTGAATGGTTTAAAATTAAGAAAGGTGTGTGACAGGGTTGTATTCTTTCACCATACTTATTCAACCTGTATGCTGAGCAAATCATCTGAGAAGCTGGATTCTATGAAGAAAAATGTGGCA